ACTATAGGAACGATTTTCAAAGACTAACTAAAATCACAATGAAAATTTCCGGTCAATCATAAATTGATTTTCTTGCTTAGGTAGGACACTCTAAAAGATTCCATTGGAGGATGCAGACATAGGGTTTCTATAACTGAAGGGGCTCAAGGAGGATCTGTGAATACCCCTTAAAGTGCCAAGAGAGCCTGCAGAGCTTGCTTTGGGAGTTGGGTCCTCTTCAATGACACATGGCCTGATGTTCCTCCATCTCTTACCCCCTAAAGAAGTAGCAGGTTATTCTTATTAAGAGATAGTTGTCAGTGAGGGTGCTTTTGATTGCAGCCTAACTCCAGATGGCTTAAAATTACAGGCAATTTATTATCTATTTGCTCACATAACTCAACGTCTATACATAGGGCTCCCTTCAGGTAAGGCTTGATCCAGTGGCTTACAGAATGTCACCAAGCATGTCTTTCTTTCTGCCTCTCTGTTCTAACTCCTATAGTTTTGGCATCATCTCCAGAGTCTACCCAGTGGTCCTATTGGCTGCTCTGGATTCTGCTACTTTTAGTACATCTCATATCTTCATGCCACACCATTTAGGGGAGGAAAAAATAGATCTTCTGGTATCTCTCTCTTTTTTTTTTTTTCTTTTTTTCTGGTATCTCTTACATGAGTCCTGGTGTAGGGCTAGCCAACTGGAGGATGAGAGGTCATGTGGAGGAGAACTGAGGCTCCTCAGATGACAGTCAGTCCCCACTACCAAATATTGAGTGAGACCATCTTAATCTTGTAGCCCAGCCCAGCCAAACTTCTAGCAACCCAGGAGTATTGCTTGCTGGTCCCACCAATATGTAGAAAGACAGCATCTCTGATGCAACTTAAACTTAGATTAAAGAAGGTTGGCCATTGTATTTATACTTGGAAAATAACAACTACTAACTCATACAGAACATTTTTAATGTACCAGGCACTATGCTACCTTTACATAGCATTTCTCCCTACAACAGTCCTGTGACATAGGTACTGTATATTAGCTCCTTTTTATAGATGATGAAACTGAGGCGCTGAGAGATGAACTGACTTGTTCAGAGTCATACAGCTTGTAAGAGCCCCCGTTGCACAACCCTGGGGAAATGGAAGGGAAATCATTCACGTGGACTGCAGCGCTGGAATTTTCCTTCAGGGGGCACAATTCACATTGCATTCTATATGTACATGCTGTCCAACCTTGTGCTTCTTTACTCATTATTTGTACTGTACTGACTCCAACTGCCCATTCTGGATGCACAAACTAGGCCAACAGAACCTTTGAGAGACGAAGGATACAAAATAGCGTGACATTAGCCATCAGTGCCATGCTGGGGATCTGGAGTCTTGGAAGTCGTCCACAGCCAGGGAACTTAGCAAGGGGGTGGGAACCAGTCGGCAAGCATTAGATGGAACCCTGAAGCTGCAGCTGGGGACCCAGGTAAGACTATGTGTCAATCTAGGCTGGTATGCAGAGACTAGAAAGGCGGAAACTTTAGAAGGCAAAAAGAAGGGAAGTGGTCAAGACTGGGTGGCTGGTTGGAAGCTAGAAAATGCACTGATAGAGGCATACAGCAAAAGTCCCTGTGCCTTTGCTGCAAACTCGGGCACTCTCTCTCCCAGACTGGTTTGGTGGGTGCCAGTCCCAGGAGTATCCATCATCGGGAGCAACAAAGAGGGTGAACTTGAGAGGTACCACTGACATAAAGAAAGCAAGTACCCAAAGCCAGGAAATGTATACCTATAGCTAGGTATGAAGATGTGTTTCCCCCCGACCCTCCTCTCTTTCTCTGTCTCTCTGTCAGTTTCTTAGTCCAGGCCCTGAACCTTGCTAATAATAGGAATCCATATTTGCATCTCATTGGAGGAACATGCCAGAGACTTGAATGCCTTCCATCCAGGTTACTAGTCCACAGGATCAGCACTATCTCAGGAACTTGCACCACAGGGCAAGTTTGAACAGGGGTCTACTCTTTATAAAGCTGTTTGGGAGGCTTATTAGCATGTTTGAGGTTCTGCCAACGGTTTGTAATAAAAACACAATGGAAGAACACAAGAAGTTTTAGGGAGATTATTTTCTATAACAAAACACTCTTCTAAACAGACCCCACTGGTTTATATTCCATTCCAGGACTCGATTCCCTTTTGCAAGTGCAAAGGTCTCTATGCCATGTTCTACTGAGTCAGGTAAGAAAATAACTGTCAACTCCACATTCTTAGGTGCAGGTAACTTAGATTTTTTTTGGCTGACAACTCGAATAATGCATGCTTATTATTAAAAATAATCGGATGTGGCCAGGTGTGGCAAGGCCCCCAACGGTAACGAGAGCTCTCACCCTTGGTCCACTCTGAGGCTGCATTCAGTGTTTAAATGCAATGCTAGGAGACCAGTTCCAGTCTGCTATACATGATGGAGAGATAAAGTTTTACTGAAGATTTTTTGGAGAAGGTGTGGAAGAAGAGTGACACTGCATACCACGTGGCAAACATCACAGCAGTTCCCTTTAAACGTCTATGTTCCACTGGAATTTCCTCTCTAAATATCAGCCTCCTGGGACTTCCCTGGTGGTCCAGAGAGCAAGACTCCGAGCTGTGGTGCTTCAAGGACAAAGGACGACCCTGCCTGAAAAGGTTTCAGCGTCACACCCCCTACTGGACTCTTAATCACCCTCCCTACCATGTTTCCATGGTTACGAAATTCCTGAGCCCACCTGGGCAATGGGACCTGTCCCAAATAAGGAAAGGCATCTGCCCTGTCCCAATCCCACTCTATAGAAGGAAGGTATATGTGCCTCGACCAATCAGTAAATGAATTTTTCACCTCGGACCATTCCTTTGTTCTCTGGCTATAAAAACTGACTAATAGCACATGTTTGGAATAGGAAGTCAGCCCACTGTTCTGGCAGCAACCCTTCCCTCTAATAAATTCTATCTTCTTTACATTCTGCCTTGTGTCTGGAAATTCTTTTCCAACCCGCATTTGGACCACGACACGCGCTCCCAATGCAGGGGGCCTGGGTTCGATCCCTGGTCAGGGAACTAGATCCTGCACGCGTGACGCAACTAAGTCCACATGCCACAACTAAGAAGCCCACATGCCGCAATTGAAGATGCCATGTGTTGCAACTAAGACCTGGCGCAGCCAGAAAAAAAATCAGCCTCCTGTCCCCCATCCCCTTCTCCTTCCCTGTCTCTGTCTTTGTTCCCCATCAAAACATAAATTCCCCTCAATGGTCTGGAAGAACTCAGTTCTGGCTCTCAACTTGCCTATCCCACTCAAAAAGAGAAAAGCTCAGTAGATGGCTGATTGTACTCTGACCCTTTTGAAAAAGAAAGCAGCTCAATATCCAATTATTTGTCAAGAATGGCTGGGAATGGGCACTGGAGCTAGCTTTCTCAGGCTTGAGAGACCTAATTGCGTGTTTTTCTTCTCAGTTTCACATTCAATGAAATCACGGTGGCAGCTTGAAACGGGCTGTGGTTGTAGCATTTACAGCACAGAAATTGGCGAACACTGTAAAGCACCACCTCCCCCCCCACCCCAGAAGCTAGTTCTTAAGCATTTACCAGCACACAGCTGGACCCACTCTACAAGATATATCTAAAAGTTTTTACCAAACAAAATTAGGTCTTGTTCTGTGGAAGGCAGTGCCAGGGGGTGGGGTTAGGGTGGGAGATAATTTTTGACGTCAAGAAAATAAAAGATTTCTCCATATAGTGACATGTATAATATACATTGTTAAAGAGAAAAACCACTGGCCCCAAATGGCATCACTTGTGCTAGTGCCCATGGTACCAAACCTAGATTTCATACCTAATCTAATTGCAGTTTTGACCTTCACCAGAAATGCAATCTTAACTAACCAGCTTGGAATTTTCTGGTCAGCACCAATGTGGTAATCTGTCATGTGGGTCCTCTCCATTCCCCCCACCCTCACTCCTGCACCAGTGGATGGGGAGGAGATCTGCATGATAATATCCTTGCCTGTTACCTCCCTCCAAAAAGATATCCTGGCCTGAAAATAATCCTTATTTTCTTCTGCTAAGAGCTCCCTTGCCCCACCCTTCTTCCTATAAAAACGTTCCATTTTGTACAACCCCTAGGAGTGCCCTTCTAGTTGCTAGATAAAATGCTGCCTGATTCCTGAATTGTTGAAACCAGCCAGTTAGATCTTCAAATTTACTAGGTTGAATTTTAGTTTTTCAACAATATAGAAAGTTTAACTGCCATTGCTTTCCCCTCTCACAGCATGCATTCTCCCCAGATAACCACTGTTAAGTTCTGTATATACTTTCCTCATTTTTTTCCCAAGCATCCACAATACTCTTGTAATTTGTATGGGATTATGCTCTACTTCCTGTTGCTGTCTTACTTTTTTTTTTTTTAATCTAACAAGGTATCTTGGACATTTTTCTTTGTGCTCATAGAGTTAATTTTTAAAAGTGGATGCATAGTATTCAATTGTGTGGCTCTAGATATGGAAAGTAATGGGAAGGGCATTTGAAGGGGAAATTAAGCATCTGGTCTTGGCCCAGTTTACAGTTGAGAATTATCCACTGCATGGGCTCTCCCTGTGCGTGGCCTTTAAGGCAGGGTTTCTCAGCTTTGGCACTACTGACATTTGGGCCAGTTAATTCTCTATGATGGGGGTCCTGGCCTGTGCAACAGCCGGAGTTAGTACCACCCTCATGTCCAAAGGTGCAAGCCCGGGCTCCAGTTATAACTACAGCACAACACACAACTCCAAAACTGCGTGCCTGTCAACAGCGACAGCAATGATCTTACTCATGAATCTGCAGTATGGGGACAGGATGGCTTGTTTGTGCCACTGAGGTGGGTCTCAGGCAGGGGACTGGAATCACCTGAAGGCTTGCTCACACCTGCATGGGGGCAGAAGGGAGCTGAGCTCCCTGAGCCTCTCTCTGTGTCTCTGTGTTTTCCCACCTGGTATCTCCAGTATGGCAGCTTCCGGGTAGCTGGACTTCTTACCTGGTGGCTCAGGGCTGCAAAGGTGTGTGTTCTGAGGGGAGAGGGCCAGGCGGGAGCTGATCACCTTTTCTGTCCTCGTCTCGGGAGTCACTCAGCACTGCTTCCACCTGCATTGTAATTGTTAGAAGTGAGATGTTTCCAGGGGTGAAGGATTAGACTCTCCCTTTTGTGGCAGGAGTGTCAAAAACCTGCAGACTTGTTTTAAAATCATCTCAGGGAAGGAGTAATTACCAGAACCCAGACATGGTCGCTATGTAGAGAGGGCTACCTGACCAAAGCTGTGGCCCTTGGGAGAGGAATATCCCTCAGTCTTCTGCTGAGAGGGAGGTGGGGAACTAATAAGCAGGCCCCCTTCCCACCACCTGCTGGTGTCCCAGTTGGCTGAGCCCGACTGAGCCAGAGGGCAAGGGAGCTGGTGGATGCAGCCCATGCAGGCTCCCGGGCACATGGGAGGGGTGGGGAGTGCTTCTGAAGGGGTCAGCAGAAGATGCCCAGCACAGAATACACCCTAGCGGTCACTTTTCTTAGCGCTGTCTCCATCCCTTCTGTAGCTCCTTCAGGCTGGACAACGTGCTATTCCATCTGGAAACAGCCGAGGTGCTTGCCGTCCTTGACTGGGAACTCGCTACCTCAGGTGACCCCCTTGCCGACGTGGCCTACAGCTGCCTGGCTCACTACCTGCCATCCAGCTTTCCCATTCAGCCAGGTAGGAACTGCCGCTGGGGGAGTAAGGGATGGAGCCAGCGCTATTCTCAAAGCATAGGACAAACTCGGCTAAGCCACTATTTCCCCATTTTTGTTATGGTTTTGCAATAAAAGATAACCAAGAACATTTAAGTAAACAGAATGGCTGCTAAGTCCAAACGGTGATGAACAGGTCTGATTGCCTGTAGGCCTTTTCTAGCGGGCTGCTGAGTTCTCACTGCCTTCTGCTCCAGTGCCTGGGGATAGCTGGATTGATTCTGCCATTAAGAATTATCCATTCTATGGACTTCCCTTGTGGCCCAGTGGTAAGAATCCACCTTACAAGGCAGGGGACGTGGGTTCGATCCCTGGTCAGGGGACTAAAATCCCACATGCCGTGGAGCAACTAAGCCCACATGCCACAACTACTGAGCTCATGCGCCTCAACTAGAGAGCCTGCGTGCCACAAATTACAGAGCCCACATGTTCTGGAACCTGCACGCCACAACTACAGAGCCCACACATCCTGGAGCCTGCATGCCACAACTAGAGAAGAGAAAACCCGCATGACACAACTAGAGAGACGCCCACGTGCCGCAACGAAAGATCCCACATACCTCAACAAAGATCCTGCATGCTGCAACTAAGACCCGATGCAGCCAAAAATAAATAAATAAATAACAAATAAATCTTAAAAAAAAAAGAATTATCCATTCTATGGATAAAGAAGATGTGGTACATATATACAATGGAATACTACTCAGCCATAAAAAAGAATGAAATAATGCCATTTGCAGCAACATGGATGGACCTAGAGATTATCATACTAAGTGAAGTCAGAAAGAGAAAGACAAACATTATATGACATCACTTATATGTGGAATCTAAAATATGACACAAACGAACTTATTGATGAAACAAAACAGACTCACAGACATAGAGAATGGACTTGTGGTTGTCAAGGGGGAGGGGTATGGGGGAGGGATGGATTGGGAGTTTGGGGTTAGCAGATGCAAACTACTATATATAGGATGGATAAACAACAAGGTCCTACTGTGTAGCACAGGGAACTATATTCAGTATCCTGTGATACAGCGAAGGAAACCATAAACAAGACAAAAAGACAACCCTCAGAATGGGAGAAAATATTTGCAAACGAAGCAACTGACAAAGGAGTAATCTCCAAAATTTACAAGCAGCTCATGCAGCTCCATATCAAAAAGACAAACAACTCAATCCAAAAATGGGCAGAAGACCTAAATAGACATTTCTCCAAAGAAGATATACAGATTGCCAACAAACACATTAAAGAATGCTCAACATCATTAATCATTAGAGTAATGCAAATCAAAACTACAAGGAGGTATCACCTCACACGGTCAGAATGGCCATCATCAAAAAATCTACAAACAATAAATGCTGGAGAGGATGTGGAGAAAAGGGAACCCTCTTGCACTGTTGGTGGGAATGTAAATTGATACAGCCACTATGGAGAACAGTATGGAGGTTCCTTAAAAAATTGAAAATAGAACTACCATACAACCCAGCAATCCCACTACTGGGCATATACCCTGAGAAAACCATAATTCAAAAAGAGTCATGTGGGCTTCCCTGGTGGCACAGTGGTTGACAGTCCGCCTGCCGATGCAGGGGACATGGGTTCATGCCCCGGTCCGGGAGGATCCCACATGCCGCGGAGTGGCTGGGCCCGTGAGCCATGGCCGCTGAGCCTGCGCGTTCAGAGCCTGTGCTCTGCAATGGGAGAGGCCACAACAGTGAGAGGCCCGCGTGCCGCAAAAAAAAAAAAAAAAAAAAATCAGATACCTGGGAGAGGCTGGGGTTCCAGCATATGGTCCTGCACCACCCTCCTCCCCTACATGTCCTAAAAACGTTCTTCTGTGACCCCCTCAAAGGTTGGAAGCCCACACAAAAGAAAGCTCTTGCTGGGAATGGCAATTCAAATCAGTTGTATTGATTTCACAAAGATGAAGCAAACCGTTGAGACCAAACAAATATTTCACAAGACACTCTGTACAAAGAACAGAAGTGGTCCAGTGTGTTTGGATTACTGAGCAAACCTGAGATTCACACCCTTCTGAGTTGAGACCGTGTTTTTTTTTTTTTTGAAAAGAAAATGCTCCTCTCTAAGGGCTCAGGTATAGTATATAGTACTCCAGTCCCATCCTGCAGAGAAGTTTGACTATACGTGTCAGAAGTCTTACACGGTGCCATAGTATTCACGTGGCTGTTCCACTCACAGGACTTGGTCACAAGGAGTAATTAGGTTTGATACTAGGAGGCTCACCACAGCCGTGATTATAATATGTCGGAAACAACCTATAAGGATAACAATCGGAGCCTAGTCTAGATAACTGTGATATGGGCATGCAGTGAAATTCCAAAACAATGCTATAGAAATCTATTTCTTTCTTTCTTCTTCTTCTTTTTTTTTTTGGCTGCGCCACGTGGCATACAGGGATCTTAGTTCCCTGACCAGGGATGGAACCTGTGCCCCCCGCAGTGGAAGTGTAGAGTCCTAACCACTGGACTGTCAGGGAAGTCCCTAGAAATCTATTTCTTAATATATATAGAGATGCTCTTAAATAAAAAAAAAAAAAAAAAGCAGGCTACAAAGCATTATATAGAGTATGACTCCATTTTTGGTAAAAAGTACAGATGTATGTATATGCATGTACAAACAGTGTAGAAGGGTATCCACCAAATATTAAGTGTAAGTGACTAGATGATGGGATACCAGGTGTTTGTATTTTCTTTTTTTGTCTGCAAATGTGTACTATTTCTGCCATGAGATATATTATTTGTGTCATAACTATTTTTAGTTAAAAAAGCGGAGGGAGAAGGATCCCTTATAACCTTTTCTGATCACTTGTGGCTTTCAAAGACTGTAGAATCCCTGTTGCAATAATGGTTGGCAACAAGGGGGCTCTGGCAGCCAGACTTTGCTCCCGAGGGCGCCCTCTTGGCCTGTGTGAGGCGCCCACAGTCACTGCCTAGTTTGCAGAGTAGCCCCGGGCCAGAGGCGGCTCAGAGCAAGCACTGTCCCTGCTTAGCAGCGGAGCCTACCCAGAAGGGGTTGGATGGCTGGAGTAAGGGGGTTCCCGGAAGTAATTTGTGCAGCCACCACGTTGACTAGCTCCGCAGTGCCCACGAACTTTGTCTGCGTTTGACTCTTCTCCCTGGAAGTTTCCAGTGGCTGGAGAGCTGGCAAAGTGACAAATGCTGCATGGTCCCACTTCTGTCCCTCTTCCCCTCCAGCCCTCTCCTGTGTGCTTCCACCCACCTCCTCTGCAGGGCACAGCCCCGAGCCTCCCATCCTGTCTCCTGTGTCCGCAGGCGAAGTCCCGAGTGGCCTTTGGGAAGCCCCTGGTAGAGGAGGGCACGGTCTTGGCCGACACCGCCCAGTCCCGCGTGGAGATCGAGCAGGCCCGGCTGCTGGTGCTGAAAGCTGCCCACCTCCTGGACGTGGCGGGAAGGAGGTAGCAGGCCGAGGGGCCTCACAGAGGACAGGTCCTGAGGTCACAGTGAGGGACTGAATCTGTAGACTCGGACTCTTCCCTCCCCATTCAGCAAACCACAGAGAAAGCGCTTGGCTCCTTGACATAAATAACTTTGACAAACTCTCCTTGGGGCTGCTCAGGCAGCTTTTCAAAAATGGAAAAGGTACAATAAAAAAGGACGGAACTGGGCTTCCCTGGTGGCACAGTGGTTGAGAGTCCGCCTGTCGATGCAGGGGACACGGGTTCGTGCCCCGGTCCAGGAAGATCCCACATGCCGCGGAGCGGCTGGGCTGGTGAGCCATGGCCGCTAAGCCTGCACGTCTGGAGCCTGCGCTCCGCAACGGGAGAGGCCACAACAGTGAGAGGCCTGCGTACTGCAAAAAAAAAAGACTGAACTTTCTGTTTTATTGACCCGATGAATTTCAGGGTCCAAGACAGCGGGCCTGACAGGGCCACACGGCCCCCAGCCTCAGCTACAGCCCCGCCTGGACTTCCAGGCATCAGGCAAGCTAAGAGTAAACAAGGGAATTAGCCAAAAGAGAAGCTTTACTTTCAGGTGTGACTTTATTCCTTAAACGGCTCTTCTGAGGGCCTCTATCTCCAAGCACGATGCCACGCTGACCCCTGCCTCCTCCAGCTCTCCACGGGGCCTCCACCCTTTAGCCGAGAGCCTCGGTACGGGTGGGGGTGACCCAGACTCAAGTTCCCAGTTTCTTGGTTCTCTAGTGCCAGCATTGAGGGCTATAAGGGACTTCACTCAAATGCCCACACTCAGGGTAGATCCTTGCAGCTCAATTCCCCAGAGTCCTGTCTGGCCCTGGTCCAACGTCCAGTTGGAAACAGAGTGGCCATGACCCTGAACAAAGCACAAGCCAGACTACACACCCACTCACACTACACAACAT